TCCCCGAGACCCTTCTGTAAGGGGATGTTCAAGAATTCTTTTTTAAAAAAAGAATTTAGCCTGTACAAACATCTAGACTAACCCAGTTTGTTGACCGTGGATCCCAGGCAGGCTTCAGAGACGCTGAGGCGTTGGCTCTAGACCACGCCAGACAGTTGACTGGGCAACCAAGCAGGTCACACACATGACCACTACACTGTTGCCGGGGGAGCGTGCGATGTTGGACATGACACAACAACAACCAGAATGGGACACAGGATCACCACGTGAGCACTCACTGCTGGGAAAATGGCACCGTGAGACTTGTGTGGGGGTAGCCAGCCCCCCACAACTAATCACGGGTTCGGTAGGCGCAATTGTACGGTTAAGATACATAAACATCATAGTAAAGTCATAGGGAAATGGGAGAGATGGGAGAGGGAGAGTAAAATGAAGAAGTCAGACACATTTCACGGTAGCATGCTCACCTCAGCTCCTCTTGTGGTACACGTGGAGGTGGGAGATGAGAGGGCAGGAGAAAGCTCTCCTGAGGTTTTATTTCTACCAAAGCTATATATCTTTGGGGGCATGCAAGCCCCCTGATTACAGCTAACAACCTACGTCATAGGAAAGGGTTGTAACATAGGCAATACAAGCAGTAGGAGGGGGATGACCTAGGGGTGTACATGCAATAGTAAAGGGATGGAATAGGGGTACATATGGGCCAAGATGGGTGGACCTTAGACTCAATATAGTAGCCTAGCCTTAGTCATCCTTCAGTGGTCCCTGGCCTGCCTTTGGGCGCTCCTTGAAGGGAACAATATCAGAAGAGAGTGGGCCCTACTTAGGGTGAGCCAGACTGTACAGTCTGGTTGCTGTAGATGGCTGATACCCTTAAGGAGAATAACCTCTGACCTACTTTCGCTGACCTTCTAGTGTACAGTCATTTACCAAGTGTAACAAGCAGCGTCTTGGGTTTGGCATATATTTGGGAGAGACAACTTGGGAGAAATCTTTCTGCTTCCCACAGACTTGATTGACCCAGGGCAGCCAGAGCACAAACAGCACAAGACACGGTGAGGGAGGCGCGGTTAAGCTTGGCTGCCTCCCTCTGCTGGGTGGAGAGGTGGAGGAAGGTGCTGTGGGGCAGGGAACCTGGAGGTGCCTACTGTAGTTGAGGCAGTTTGGCTGACAGTGTCCCCCTTCTTCCGGGCCACCTCTCCTCCTTCAACATCCCCTCACCAGGCCACTTACATCCTTGACCACTTCCTCTTTATCCCCACCCCACCCCCCTCACCTTCAAGCCCTACCACCTCTGTAACATGGGCCCATTTATTAACAACGAGGGTCACATGAGATGGTTCAGCATCTTCCTGAGCACTCCTTGGCAGGTTTGCAGTAAGCAGTGGCACCCACCAGTGTGACAGCTGGTCTCCACTTTTCCCTTCTCTGCTAACTCCACTGGCACATCCTTGGCGCCCAGTACAGATAACATGTTTTGGCTGGCGCTTAAGAATGGCAGCTGCCAAGCGTTTGTAGGACTCTGAAGATTAAGGGCGCAAGCCGGCTGTCAGCCAGCCAGAGGGGATATTGGAGCAGGCCGTGTGTCCAGAAGGAGAACGCTCTAGGATGTGTAGCCGCAGGGGCCGGAAGGAAACCGACGGGCAGGATGCAGTGGCGCCAGGCCACCATGCAGGGGCTGCACAGGGCTGAGGATGCCGGGGCAGCCTAGCCCCTGTGAGCAAGGAGGGTGGAAGGATAAAGCAGTGCTCCTCAACTTTCTCTGCAACCTGGATTCCCCTTGCGAGCTCTGAAAACCAGTGCTGCCGGGGGCCCACCCCCAGAGTGCCACGCCATTGGGCTGGAGGGCGGTCTGGGCGAGCTCCCAGTGATTCTGGTGCGCAGTGGAGGCTGAGACCCACTTGGAGGGAGATGGCTATGTCGACCCAGCTCTCTAGTGGAGGAATGGGGCCCTGCCACCGGGCCCTGGGTTGGAGTCAGGCTGAAGAGGGGACAACATCTGGCGATTCTAAATTGGCCCTCCCAGGTGGCTGGATGCACATGATAACTCACACCTCGGATGCTTGGTTCCGTCTTCCATTTAACACCTCTCACACCCGCACCTGTGTGCTCACTAGGCATGGAGCTGTTAGGCAGTTTTGGCAAAGAGCTGACCAAGCACGAGAAGAACCGGCAGGAGCTGGCCAATGCCGAGAAACTCTTCGACCTCCCCATTACGATGTATCCTGAGCTGCTCCAGGTGCAGAAGGAGATGAGTGGGCTGAAGATGATCTATGAGCTCTATGGGGAGCTCAAGGTAAGCACGAGTCCGCCTGTCACCTGGGCAGCAGGGCCCTGGTTCAGGGGGCGGCTGAACTGGTGGTTGGAAGAAAGAGTGTGAGTTCTGTTTGTAATCTGGAGGAAGTTCCCATTGCAACAGTTTGACCAATTGCATTGTGGAAGGGAATTACATTATATTACGTTTATGTGTTCGTCTGGGTACTTTAGAGAAACAAATCCACAGAAATTCATGTATGAGAGAGTTTTATATAAAGGTTAAGTGCACATCAAGTAAACATCCCAACCCAGTGCTGCCCAAGCCCTCAAGTCCAACATTAACCCATATATCCAACACCAATCCACAAAGTCCTCCTCCATCTCACAAAACACACTCAATGATGCCGAATCAGTGAACGTGTAAACATCTCAGCGCTGGCAGGGGTCTCCACACGGCTGCTCCACCACCCAGGGCTGCATCAGGGTAGGTCCATGTGGCTTCTCCTTGGGGATGTAGGAAGTGAGCCTTGCCAGCTGAAGCAGGGAACTGGCTAAGGCAGCTGCAGCCTGGTCCGACCATCACAAAGCAAGAGACCCGAGAACTAGAAAGGCGAGGTTCACCGAGCCCTTTATTGCTCCGCCCTTCAATTAACCCCACATGTGTCTATCAGCCAGGTTGGCACAATAAACTACCTCAGTTTATACTACATCATGGAACAGCAATTAAACTGGTGTTTGGCCCAAACCCTGGGACCTATAGCTTTGCTGCGTGGGCACATAAAACGTAACAGAGCGGTGGGTCTCCAGGCAATGACCACCCCCCAAAAGCTGAGCATGACCAAGAGGTAAGAACTTGCCTTCCCTGCCACGTCCTCTCCACTTCTCCAGGAGGGCCTTATTGACAGAGCTGCTTCCGGTGTCTTTCCAGGTGGCTAAAGAAGAGTGGTCTCAGACCCTGTGGATCAACCTCAACATTCAGTTTCTCCAGGAAGGGGTTGATTCTTTTCTCAAGAATCTCAGGAAGTTCCCCAGGCAGGTCCGCAGCCTCTCCGTGGCCTACTACTTGGAAGCAAAAATGAAGGCTTTCAAAGACTCGATTCCTTTACTTCTGGACCTGAAGCATGAAGCACTGCGAGAAAGGTGGGCTCTGCATCGTGTGTGTGTGTGTGTGTGTGTGTGTGTGTGTGTGTGTGTGTGTGTGTAGCTTCTCGCTCTCAGGGTGCCCTCTGCTCACCAACTGCTCAGACCTGGCGAGGAGAACAAGGTGTCGGCAGCAGTGCAGGGCTGAAAAGGCAAATCATTCCACAGTAGTATTTCTGGGCAAAAAACTCCTATACAATTATTTTCTTGTAAGACAAGAAAACCCTGCCAGGTTTATAGTAGCTTTTGCAGTTGCGAAATTTGATGACTAAAAAAAAATAATAACTAGACCCCTGAAACCATTATCCTGAGATCACTCTTCAATCAAAAATGTTCCCTGGGGGCTTCTTTAAACCAAACAATAGCTTAGATTAGTAGTTAAAAAAAAAAGGTGTGCCTTGAGCATTATGCTCTTTGAAGAGCTACCCGTATGGGGTGAAGGAGGGGCCCTGGTGACATGGAGGGAGAAAGACAGGGCTCTCTACTCCCATAGAGTTGCAGTCTCAGAAACACACGGGGTTGTTCCACCCTGTCCTATAGGGTTGTTGTGAGTCAGCACAGACCGCTGACAAGGTGTTTGGGTTGGGTTTCTATAAGATCAAAGGGACCGCAGCAAGGGGAGGAGATTAGAGAGGATCCCTAGGGGGCAGGGGGCTTATGCTCTGAGGGATAGCGACTCACCAAGGGAGGGTGAGAATGTGTGTAACCCTCGGATGGGGTTACTCTGTGCATGGACCTGAGCTATGCGCTGGTCTCTGCTGTGTGTAGTCACAGCAACACAAACAAACAAGCAGAAAGCCTGGAGCAAAGGGGTTAGGATCAGAAATAAAACTCAAATATGAAATAGGAAATTTCTCAATTATAAAAAGCGCTGCCTCAACATACAACTTTCCTCTAGTTCTTTAATGCTCCCCCC